AAAACAGAGCAAAATTTTTTTTTCTCATGAAAAATTAACTCATTAATTCAGAAAAACAAAGCAAAAAAAATTTCTCATGAAAAATTAACTCGTTAATTCAGAAAAACAGAGCAACATTTTTTTTTCTCTTGAAAAATTAACTCATTAATTCAGAAAAACAGTAGATTTTTTTTCTTCAAGTGAATGCAATACGCCTCTGTAGAATGAATACGGGCCCTGGTGTTCAACTAGTTTTCTAAGCATTTATTTGTCTCTGTCTCTCTTCAGCAAAGAAGACAAAGAAGCAGGTGTTTGTAAGCTACAACTTGCCCATGACAAACTCAAATCTGGCCCTCCTGGTGGAGGACAGGATCAAGAGCGAGATGGAGCTTCATCCCGACAAGTTTTAAGCGTTCAAACTGTTCAATCTTTTGTACATAGCTCAATAAATCTAAAGACAAAAAACGTTCTGTCATAACGTGTGCTGCTTTTCCAGTCGAGACAAAAAAATATGCTTAAAATAACTGATCTGGTATTTTCTAATGGTTCATATTTTTTACGTGAGCAGGAAATATGAGGGAGATTTTAAAGCGATTTTAAACGTTTGCTATGAGCGATTAGCCGTTAAAGGTGCAGTGTGTAGATTTTTGATTTCGGTTGCGAGTTGCACTAAGGGCTCAGCCCTCTCTTTCTAAGAAGGTACGGTGGCTCAAACGGGACACACATATGGACAGCAGAGAATAGCCAGAGTAAGCCAAGGGTGTGTAACATTGTCACTGTTTCTGAACCACAGTCCATTATAATTTAAACCACATCATGAATATAGTTTACAAAGCCATAGTCAGGTGAGGATCAAGGGTCCTAAAGGAGTAGTTCGCTTTTGAAAAAACTTTTGCTGATAATTTACTCACCCCCATGTCATCCAAGATGTCCACGTCTTTCTTTCTTCAGTCGAAAAGAAATTAAGGTTTTTGATGAAAACATTCCAGGATTTTCTCCATATAATGGGCTCCAATGGGGTCCAAACGGTTCAAGGTCCAAAAATGACAATACGGTGCAAAAGTTCATTTATTTCAGTAATTCAACTTTAAAGGTGCAACTGATATATTATATAGCTTTCAAGCCTTTATTTGTTATAATTGTGATGATTATGGATTATAGATATGAAAACCCCAACTTCAGAATTAGAATATTGTGAAAAGATTTTCCTAAGCTGTAATCCATAATCATCACAATTATAACAAATAAAGGCTTGAAATATCTCACTTTGCATGTGATGAGTCTATATAATATATTAGTTTCACCTTTTAAGTTGAATTACTGAAATAAATGAACTTTTGCACCATATTCTCATTTTTCGAGTTTCACCTGTGTATATATAATTTCCAATTATGGTTATGCAAGAAAATTACACAAATGACAGAAAAGGTCATAGAAATGCATTGATCTGAAGGTGTGGGGACCCTGTCATTCAAATAAGAGCAACACAATATGCTGTATTAAAAATGGTATTTATTTACAAGTGCAATGTCTTAAAATGGACTATTAACATGAACGAAATTCTCATTTCAGCCTAATCGTCAAAATGAGTCAAATACAGAAAAATACACTGATGATTTCAAATGTTCTTCAGTCTCTAAGCACAAATTTATGTTTATGCACTCCGTCTTTTTCGAGTGAATCTCGTTAGTGTGTGTGTGTGTTTCAAGCCAAAAACAAAATTATTTTATTTTATTTTACTTTAGTCTATTTAAAATAAACGTTTTAAATAACAGCCTGCATTGCATTTTTAATTCATATTTTAATATATTTTTATTTATTGATAACTAACCAGTTATACTTACAATTGTGCTTGACAATTTTAATAATATATTTTTTTTTCCACATTTAATTAAATTAATGAGAGATTTTTCTGGTCTCATTTTCTGTCAGAAAAATAAAATACTTTTGTAATTTCTTTCAGATTTTTGGAGTGAAAATGGCCTGGGCATGTTCTTGTTTTGGTGAGATTCACTCATATGTGCTTTTTTTCCCCCTCAAATGTGCTTTAATTTTCTTTGTGGAGTGCGGAAGCTCATACAGGACAGCAGCCGAATGCATATACAGTAATCTTACAGAGATGATGTGAGTACTTTTGTTTCTTATTACTCACTCTTACTCCTGCCCTCAGGATGTGAAATGCCACGACTCATATTCAGAGATAAATATATATATCCCAGAAGCCTGTACACACACAATACCTGCAATCACAGTTTTAAACCTCGAAATGTTTCATTAATGTCCCGCAAAAAATTCATTTTTTCCCTTTTTTTTTTCTCTCTCCTTAATTTGGTTCTATATTCAGTAGTTTGAGGATGAACAGGAGTTTTGCTATGTTCAAGTTACTCCACACCTATTCTACACATTAATAATAATAATAATAATAATTGATAAATATACATGAAAACACTCAGCAGCCCTTCTAGTGGTCTTGCTCCACATCAACCAGAGTTCACATTTATGATTTGAGTAAATGTCATGAAAGTGTGTCTGGGTCACATTTCTATGGAAGCTTGTTTCCGCCACAGAATGAAAAATAAAAAAGGTAATTTCGACTTTTTATTTCACAATTCTGACTTTTTTTTCTCACAATTGCGAGCTTACATCTCTCAATTCCAACTTTATATCTCAGAATTGCAAGATATAAAGTCAGAATTGCGTGTTATAAAGTCAGAATTGTGAGATAAACTCGCAATATGTCTTTTTTTCCTCGCAATTATGACTGTTTCTCATAATTGCGACTTTATATCTGGCTATTGCGACTATTTCTCATAATTGCGACTTTATATCTAGCAATTGCGACTTTATCAGAATTGCGACTAAACTGGCAATTGCGACTATTTCTCATAATTGCGACTTTATCTTGCAATTGCGACTATTTCTCATAATTGTGACTATATCTCGCAATTGCGACTTTATCAGAATTGTGACTTTATATTTCGCAATTGCGACTATCAGAATTGCGACTATATCTGGCAATTGCGACTATTTCTCAGAAATGTGACTTTATATCTGGCAATTGCGACTATCAGAATTGCGACTTTATCTCAAAATTGCGACTATTTCTCATAATTGTGACTTTATATCTCGCAATTGTGACTTTATCAGAATTGCGACTTTATCTCGCAATTGCGACTTTATCAGAATTGTGACTTTATATCTCGCAATTGCGACTATTTCTCATAATTGCGACTTTATATCTTGCAATTGCGACTTTCTCATAATTGCGACTTTATATCTCGCAATTGCGACTATTTCTCATAATTGCGACTTTATATCTTGCAATTGCGACTTTCTCATAATTGCGACTTTATATCTCGCAATTGCGACTTTATCAGAATTGCGACTTTATCTCGCAATTGCGACTTTATCAGAATTGTGACTTTATATCTCGCAATTGCGACTATTTCTCATAATTGCGACTTTATATCTCGCAATTGCGACTTTCTCATAATTGCGACTTTATATCTCGCAATTGCGACTTTCTCATAATTGCGACTTAATATCTCGCAATTGCGACTTTCTCATAATTGCGACTTTATATCTCGCAATTGCGACTATTTCTCATAATTCCGACTTTATATCTTGCAATTGAGACTTTCTCATAATTGCGACTTTATATCTCGCAATTGCGACTTTCTCATAATTCCGACTTTATATCTGGCAATTGCGACTATTTCTCATAATTCCGACTTTATATCTCGCAATTGCGACTATTTCTCATAATTGCGACTTTATATCTTGCAATAGTGAGATAATAAGTCGCAAGTATTATTATTAATTATTTATTCAGTGGCGGAAACAAGCTTCCATACATTTCACTACAAAATCAAAGGTAAAATAAATGATGCATTGTGACTTTATTTTCATTTCCCCTCCTTCTTAATATCAATATCACAATGCAAAATTAAATGACAATAATGCATCTGCACATTATTCTTGATGATTGTCATTAAATTCTTGTTTTTACGTAGCGTGTAACAAACATCAAGCCAGTACAATACTAAAATAGTACATTTTTCACATCACATTAAATCATACGGGAGGAAAATGCCACAATGCAAATGTGATTTTGATGTGCGACGTGACCCATGACACACAACTGTTCACCGTGGTTATTATCGAGTGTGTGAATGTTTACATGTTACGAGCAGACCATTACGTTGTGCTGTTGTATTTTTTAAGCCATCATCTGTCCAGTTGTGGTTCAGATTCATCTGGCCGACTCATGATTGCTTCTATAGTTTTAGTGCAAAACAGACAGACTAAGAAAACCTGAACATAGTGAGGTGCACACGGACACGACGGGCTTCATTCATGACACGGGAGCAAAACCCATTTCTGTTGCGCTTAAAGGGATAGTTCAGCCAAACATGACAACTCTGTCAGTAATCGTATTGTTAAAACAAAAAAACTGATTCAAAAAATTTTCGAAAAATTTTCGTTTCGAAACTTGTGTTGGTTGGTCCAAACGATTGTGCAATCGATTTTCTAATGTAAAGTGACCGCCCAAGTACTGTTACACATACGGTTTCTTTCTCAACGGTTTACGTTCACTTAAAACATGACGTGAATACCCGCCAAGAACGGCATTTTGACGTTATTTTGTGTATTTGACTATTTAAACACAATAAACAGAGAAAAATAATATTTTTTAATACTGACACTTTGAGTAAAATGAGTAAAAGTGAGTAAAATTATGCGCAATTCAAGCCCTGTAACACAAAAACGCTCCCTCGTGTCCTGAACGACGCCCGTCGTTTCTTATCGTCGTCATTCTGTCCTTAATAAATACCAAACATTTACCAAACTTACAAAAAAGCACATTCAAATCAGTGAAACTCGTCCATGAGGTTGTTGTTCGGGGACATTAAATTAGTGGCCGTTCGAAAAATAGAACTCCTTTCGCTGAATGCAAGTTGAAAATAACATATTCAGTTTCTTTTCTGCTGGTTAATGAGGCGTTTGACACTTTTTCCGCACATCTGTCCGTCTCCAGACGCGGCTTTTAAAAACCCAACGAATGAGAAACTTCCTTTTTCAATCGATCCGATCGCTCGCGCTGTTCTCCGATTGGCCGTTGTTAGAAAATGCCGTCATGAAGTCCTCACGCCGTTGGCTGTACTGTTGCTAGGCACTGAGCCGTTGCCGGGGTTGACGACCTGGTGGAGGGGCGTGTCCTGAACGCGTGAGTATTCCCGGACCTCGGTTCTGGCCAGTAGGTGGTGCTGTTCTCCGGGGAGGATGGGCCTCCTCAGAAGCCCCTCCCCCTCAGCGATAGTCTCAGGCAGTGGTTGGCCAGCGGTTTCCGGTAGCAACGGTATGCAAATGATGCAGAGCAGCGTGCAGCAGGTGAGGATCACATGATGCAGGAAGAAACCCTTCTGGTTATGGAGCTCCATGAGCGGGGCTGTTAGCATGCCGAACCCTGCGCTCGCGAGGACCAGACCCACGCCTCCACCCCTGTCACCACAAACCAAAAGACAGCGGTCAAAACACACATTCATCACGCCAAAGATCAGGTATAATGATTCCCTAATATCACGATTCGATGTCAACAAGGCGCTGAACGTTTTTTTCGCGCGGAAGCGCCGTTTTTTACTGGTCGCCGAGAGTTGAAAAATGTTCAACTTTGGATAAAACGCAGCGCTCGTCACTGTCGCTTCTTACCCAGCCGTCCAATCACATCAGAGCAGAGGAGGGGCGGGGCTAAACCGCACCAACTGTCACAACATTCTTTCAGTACATCTACATCAACCAACAGAGCTAACCAAACAAAATGGATGAAAACTAAATTTTTAGTATGAAACAAATTATCTGCAAAATTAGTTACAAGTAAACTGTGCTGCGGCTATTCTGTCTCATAGCAACGAAACGTCTCAACGGATAAAATGTAGCGCTGACAAAACGCTCTCAAACGCCCAAAGCACGGCGTCTTAGCAAAGCGTCTGGCGTTTTCAGCTGGCTTAAAACGCTTTGGTGGACACACGGCCTAAATGAGGCCTGATGTCCACAATTCTGAACCACCCCTTAAGTCGTCCCGTGCAAATCGATGTGTCATTTTTAAAGTAAAATTTCCCCAACAAATGACCCCTCATATTTCGCCGAACACGAGGTCATGTGATAACATTAGTCCTGGCGATTTTTTTTCAAGGTTTTTGTTTCCTGTGAGCTTTTTTTGAGACATTGGAGTGTTTTGATGGTAGTTTGGGTGTCATATCCAAATATATAGTATGGATATATATTATCAAATATATGCTGGATAGTATTTTCTGTGTCATATCGCTATACAATTTGCAGAAAGAGAAAGCTGAAAACCATCAAAAGAGCAAAAACAAAAATAATGGTTAGATGGCGATGAATGGCATGCGGTAAGGAACATTAATATGTTATATATACCTATAATAACGTCACGACATTTCCCAGCAATAGCCTATTGGCATTATATCCAGGAGACAAGACCATAAAATCAGAGCCCGTCTAACGGAGAGCCTTGGCACTTCCTATTAACCCCGTTGTGCATCATCTTGGTTGCAGTTCCATTAGAATTCCACTGGAGGTGATCATGAGCGAGTGCAGAATGAATGGGAGTCTATGGGGCTAAACGGCTAAATGTGTCTCTTTCACCTGCTTGTCGTTAAATTAACATAGATTTTATTGTTGATTCCGCAAGTTCAATATAGATTATAGGCCAAAAGTCGAATGAACGAGTACTTATGTCCTTTTGATTTCTTACAGGTTAGGCCGTTGTTGGCTGGAGCACGCTAGCATTCTGCTATTGTGTGACGTCATCACATTTTTGAATGGATTTTTAGAACAGATAAGTGAACTTAAAAATGTAATTTTCAGCTGAGTGTATTATCTTAGCCCTCCCTTTTGAATGCAACTTTAAAATTACTTTACCTGAGAAAAGTGGATTTCTGGGGGTGAAACCCCATTGACTCCCATTCATTCTGCGAGCGCCCCCACATGGACAGAGACGCGTTACTGCAGCCAGTCCAGAACCCGGAAGTAACCAGACAGTGCCAATTCTCTTCAATTAGACTAAAATCACAGGCTTCGGTTATCCCGTGCGAATGTACCACACGAAATTCAGATGTGTGGGGGGTGATTACTAAATCACACGAGGTCCTCGGATAACACTAATCCCGTGCAAATAGAGATATAGTGCTCAGAAAAGACAAACGGCTTGATTTAATGAGTGTTCAGGCTTTTTGAGGATTAAGAATGGATTTTTCATTGTACGATAGTTGTCTACACACTGCAAACACACATTTATATGCAAACACCATATAGAAGTGAATAGTGCATCCGATGACTGATCTGTGCTGACCTGATGACAGTCGGCGTGATCTCCGCGCAGTAAAAGATGCTGAGCGTGCTGACGGCGTGAGACGAGAACATCCCGATGATGGAGAACGCGTACGAGAAGCGCTGGTTCAGGGTGTCTCGCAGAACTAGGACAGACGAGAGAACAGTTTTACCGTCTAAAGCAACATAACTGACATTAAACATGTTGTGAAATTAATAACATGCACACAAATATTTACATATACCTTTACTTATATAAAAATAGTTGCATTTAAATCAATGTAAAAATTTATGCCAAAATGTTTTAAGTTTTAAAAAGAAATATAATATGTACAGGTGAAACTCGAAAAATTTGAATATCGCGCAAAAGTTCATTTATTTCAGTAATTCAACTTAAAAGGTGAAACTAATATACACTGTAAAAAAATATTGATGGTTTAACTTAAAAAAGTACGTAACCTGGTTGCCTTAAAATTTTAAGTTAATTGAACTGGAAAAAGTGAGTTAATACAATGAAGAAGATTAATTTAACCATGAGAAACTCAAAATTATATGTTATCTGAACTAAATAAATTATTTAAGTTGATTTGACAAAAGAAAAAAATGTTGTGATTACTACACTGTAAAAAAATATTGTTGGTTCAACTTAAAAAAGTAAGTAACCTGGGTTGCCTTAAAATTTTAAGTTGATTGAACTGGAAAAAGTGAGTTAATTTAACCATCAGAAACTCAAAATAATAAGTTATCTCAACTAAATAAACTATTATAAAGTTGATTTGACAAAAGGAAATATGTTGTGATAACAAATCTTGAAAATATTTTTTACAGTGTATTATATAGACTCATTACATGCAAAGTGAGATATTTCAAGCCTTTATTTGTTATAATTTTGATTATTATGGCGTACAGGAAAACCTTTTCAAAATTTGGGGTGTTCATATCTGTAAGCCATAATCATCACAATTATAACACATATGCACTCAGCCTGTTCATGCTGGCATCTATTACTAATTTGTAAAAGTGAGATGAAAAATCTTTATAAAGCAATTCATAAAACTTTGAGTTTTACCTGTATCGTGCCGAAGACTGTACTTCCCGATCACTGTATTAGGAGGAAGAACACACAGTGAGAGGATAAAACACAAGCTGTGTGTGTGTGATCAGGAATGTTAGTATTGTGTACCTGATAGTGATAGCACACGTACATCATGGAGACGTCTATTTGATGTGTGTGTTTACATCTGGAAGACATATTTTTTTTAGTGTTTGATCATCACGTTTCCTGTCAGATGTCAAATAGACGTTTATAAGACGTCTTTAAGATGTAATGATTTAGAATGTGTGTTAAATTGACATCTTAAAGATGTTAGTAAACAGCAGATGCTTTCCAGATGAAGTGATCTTTAACAGACATCATGCAGACGTACGTGTGCTATCTGGGGTGTGTGTGTGTGTGTGTGTACGTACGGTTGAGCAGGCCGAGCTGTAGCAGTGATGCTAACGCTGTGATGATCATGAATGTTAGCAGTCCTCCTCTCCTGCCGAATCCTCCCACCACCGGAAACACCAACACACTCGCCGCTAACGCGATCGCCGCCACTGCGTAATAGTGCAGATGAGACTCGCTTTCCTCCAGAACACTGCGAGCGAAACAGTGATGGATGCCATAGCCCGTCAACCTGGGGAAGAAAGAGGCATTGATTATGTGTTGAGATGAGAACGGACGAGCGATGATTAGCAGATCGCCAGCGCTGCAGAACCGCATCATCCAGATCAGGGCTTTCAGCTTAGAGACGGGGAAATGAGTGTAAAAATGTGTGTGTGTGTGTTTATATACACTGTATGTAGTAATAATGAATTTTAAAATAAAAAAAATATATATTAAAATAAATAAATTAATAGAAATGGATTCAAATACATAAATAAATGAATAATTCAATTAAAATAAAACATACAATTTAAAACTGATTAAAATAAAAATACATAAATTAGTAAAAAATCTATTAAAATGCATACATTTGTAAAAATTATATTAAAATAAATAAATAATTTCAATTAAAATAATAAAAACTGGGTTTCAGAGGGAGTCCGTGGAATAAAAATTTACAGATATATACGTAATAATAAAGAAGATTGAAATAAATTAATAAAAACTGATTCAAATTAAACAACAATTAAAATAAAATATATATATATATTAACATAAATGAATAGAAACAGATTAAAATACATAAATGAATAATTCAATTAAAATAAAACATACAATTCAATTAAAATAAATAAAACTGATTAAAATAAAAATACATAAATTAGTAAAAAATCTATTAAAATGCATAAATTTGTAAAAAATTATATTAAAATAAATAAATAATTTCAATTAAAATAATTTAAAAAAAAATTCAATTTGCGTGCACTGGGTTTCAGAGGGAGTCCGTGGAAGAGTTTAGAGAAATAAAAATGTACAAATATATACGTAATAATAAAGAAGATTGAAATAAATTAATAAAAACTGATTCAAATTAAACAACAATTAAAATAAATAAAACTATATAATAATAAATACTTTTAGAAGAAATAACTAGATTAAATCAAATACATAAAAAATATTTAAATAAAAATGTATTCAAATTAAAAAACATAAGTGAAAAAAAATAATTAAATACGTTTAGAATAAAATTAGAATTAGAATTAAAAAAAGTTTGAAAATAAATAAATAAAAATTGGAAATAGAGAACAGTGGACAGATGTAAAAAACCCAAAATTAAAATAAGTTTAGAATTAATGATAGTTAGATTAGAAATAATATAAAATAAGATTAAAATTATACAAAAATGTATTCAAATAAAATGTACAGAAGAAACAGTGTAAAGATGTAAAAACAAACAAATAATAACAAATAAAATTAGAATAAGGTTAGAATAAATAAAATTAGTTTAAAATTAATAAACAATAGATTAAAAAAGTGCTTAAAATAAGTAAATAAATAAAAAATCTAACAGTACAAAAAAAAAGAAATATCAATTTTTATTTATAATAGTAATTTCTCCACGGTATAAATTTCCATTAATATTTTAGGAACAGTGGCCCTGATATTTGTGTGTGTGTGTGACACATTAAACACTGAAACCCCCTGATGTAGATGACAGAGAACAGATAAGTGTATCTGTCACGGTTGAGCAGGCCGATAACAGATAAGTGTGTTATAAATCTGACTAGCATGAGCTTCACTGGAGTGTGTGTGTGATCGCTCGATTACGGGGTGTGTTTGGTCTCACGGGCTTCGAGACTCGGGCACTTACGAGTTCACACACAGCACTACGGTGTTCTTCCACAGGTTTCGGGTGCCGGTCAGTTGTGTTACGCACGACGTCTTTGGCTTCTGTTGCAGTTCTGTCTCCAGCTCTACAAAACCATCATCATCATCATCATCATCATCATCGTGCTTATGAAAGCTCAAGGTAAAGCACACACACTTCAACAACAGGTAACTCACCTGAGAGGATGCCGCTGGGGTCGGTTGCCGTGTCGACGCCGTTGCTATGGGCGATTCGGTACATTTGTCTCTTGGCTCTTTGGTAATGTTGAGTGGCCAACAGCCAGCGCAGGGATTCAGGGAACATCCTGACACGAGACGCAGCGTTACTTCACACCGCTCGCTAACACTTACTGTACAATAAACTTCATGTATTTAACATGAGCAACACGTGTGCAGTGTTGGGTAAGTTACTCTAAAAAAGTAATTAATTACTAGTTACTAATTACCTCTTCAACAGTGTAATTACATTACTGTACGAATTACTCTCTCTAAAAAGTATTTAATTACTTTTAATTACTAATTACTTTTAAAATCCCATATCAATCTCAACCAGCTGAATAATACAAGGATAGACATGAATCTGTTTTAATTCTTTCAAATAAATACTATAAAATTGCATGAATTATCCTTAAACTGACCAAGGTGGAGAAGGTTACATTATAAAAACATACTTTTTAGCATCAGACAATACATTTTGATGTTAAACCCACTATTGTTTTATGTCTGATCTCATGACATTTTACACTTTTTTCATACATATTTTACAATAATTCATACGAATTTGTACGAGTGCGGTCGTAATATTTAGACACCTCATACGAATGGCTGTGAGATCGGATTGATCTATACACAGTATTTACCTCAATTACGTCAGAAGTAACTGTAATTAAATTACAGATAAATTCAGAGTAATCCCTTACTTTACATTTTTAAGAGAAAAGTAATTAAATTACAGTAACTAATTACTTAGTAATTAGTTACACCCAACACTGCACGTGTGTTACAGTATTGACTCATCTTTGTTCATGTTAGTTAATAAAAACACCGCTTTTGTTCATGTTAGTATGTCAACAAACACAACCTTTGATTTTAACAACGTGTTACGGGTGAAACTCGAAAAATTAGCATATCGTGCAAAAGTTCATTTATTTCAGTAATTCAACTTAAAAGGTGAAACTATTATATATATATATATATATATATTTTAACCTTTATTTTACCAGGAAAGTCCCATTGAGGTTAAAAACCTCTTTTATAGACTCATTACATGCAAAGTGAGATATTTCAAGACTTTATTTGTTATAATGTTGATGATTCCGAAACATTCTAAAACGCTACATCAAACTAAACGCTCAGGTAAAAACGTTCCATGAATGATAAAAATAATAATAATTTATTGTCATTGCAGTGATACAACGAAATTACATTAGAACATCAATCGACAGTGCAATTCCAAAGCATATTTTGTATATATGATAATGATATTTTTAAAGCACACATTAATAAAGACCAGATAGCTTTAAATAAAAGTAGATTTTGTATGAATTAATAGTTTAGTGTTTTGTGTTGCATGCACTGGTAGGAGAACCGTGATTTATCTTACCAGACGTACGGCAGCATGAGCACAAATGGAGCGATGATTGCAATCTGAAGAATCTGCCAATCACGGCACAGCGCCGCCAAACCGGGCATCAGCATCTGCCCGCCCACGATGATCAGACTGGCGATCATGGTCATGGAGAAACGCCATTTGGGCAAACACAACTCAATCCCTGAGAGACGGCGAGATCACCACAGAATCAAAACACCACACTTCAAGTCATGAATTCACAAATGGACAATTCTTGTGATTATTTTTGTTAAATTCATGTTCCTCTTAATCTTGAATCAGAATAACTTCCCCTCCCTGCGAGGGCGGGGCAACCTGTCACTCACATGAGATCAGCCAATAGCAAAACAAAACCATCCAATCAATTCCCCAAGAACAAAATCAAGCCCCGCCCACATTTGTTTTTGTCACAGACGCCGTTTCAGGGGAGTAAAGACCAGCACAACTTTTGTTTCACGCCGACTTCTCCGATAAGCAGTGGTGGAATTTAACGAAGTAGCTACAAATACTTTGTTACTTTACTTAAGTACATTTTTCACGTATCTTTACTTGACTTAAGTAGAATAAATAGAGCATACTTTTTACTTCGTTACATTTTGCAGCAATTATTCTACTTTCTACTCCACTACATTTCTACAACTTCTGTTACTTTTTCGTTACATTTTCTGATCAGTTTTTCCCCGCTAAAACGTAATCTGATCGTCCGTTCTTTGCACGTTTGTCTCAGCAGTGACGTTTGGTTGCCATAGATACGTCAACTAAATGCGTCTCGCACGCAGTGTGTTTATCGATGCAATTTACACGCGAAAATGTGTTTTTACGTGCATAGGAAACACGCCGTGTGTAATATACGTTTGGTTAGAATTATGGCAAGCCAAGAGGTTCAGAATTACACCATAAATGAATCGCGTTTACTGCCAAACATAGTTATTAACATATAGTAACCGGATAAGCATGGTTTATATTGCCTAATTGCAAGCTTGTTTCAGAAATGGTGACGATTTTTTTCCATCATTATTGAACATCATTATAGGAGTATTAGGATGAATGAGTTAGAATTAAATGTTTTATTAATCATTAGAAAATAGTCATTAAGAGAATCAATTGTTATGCAAATACTTTTACTTTTAATACTTAAAGTACATTTAAAATCAGGTACTTTTTACTTGGTTGTCATTGTGTTACTTCTACTTTTACTAAAGTAAATATTTATCTGGTTATTTGTACTTTTACTTAAGTTCTGAGATTCAGCACTTCCTCCACCACTGGCAATAAGGTACGAGAGGCTGTGCTGTATCGTGAATGAGTCGCGGCTGAAGGGCGTTGTTAGGCTCGACGCGACGCGGAGTAACCCTTTCTGCCGTCACTCATTCACATCGAGTACCTTATTGCTTTTATAAAACGGTTACCACACAATAAAAATATTAAATTAAAAAAAAATGTATTAGTGCAACTTTCATGAAGTAAAATCACTAAAAGCCTTCCTTCCGCTAGAAAAAATAGTCCCTGACCGTGAACAGCAGCAACGCTCCAGTGTGTAATGTGCATGAACGCTCAAATAAATACAACCATAGGAACGGTCATAGCCGTGTGTTATCATGAATAAAACACAGCTATTGACCAATCAGAAACAAGGATTGGAACTAACCGTTTTATAATAGATATTATTCATATTTTTTATCTAGTAAATTGTATCTTTATAATTACAAATGTGTAAAACACAAATATATTTAAATGTAAGATTCAATAGAAATGACATTTGATTACTATAAATACATTCTTCAAAGACAATGAATGACGAAAAATGACATAAAAAGATTAGAGATCCTTTACTCAGGTCCAAACCTGTATAAATGTCTTTACACAAAGATATTTAATAAACAAAATGTAACCAAACAGTTGATGGACCCCATTGACTTCTATTGTAGTCAATGCACTGTAATTTTTACTGTATTTCTGATCAAATGAAATCCAAGAGACCACAGTGTAACGTTATACTACAACATGTGTGTGTCTGTGTGAGCAACTCATTCATTTTGCTCTTCAAGTTGTCCAAATAAACACTCAACAGATCAATGTGTCGAATAACCAGAAGAGATGCTGGTTATTCTGAAGATGCATTTTCTCAATTTGAGGCCAAACACCATAAAATATATTTCATGAAGGTGAAAATCTTATTATCGTCGTTATGGCTCCCGTTATAAATCATTATGATATCCATTATAAACAAAAAGCTTTTGAGAAAATTGTGCGCTGTAAAGCATGAGACTTCAAATGTCATCAGAGTCTGAGCGAAGCAGAAAGTGGCTCCATTAAAGTAAATTAATGAACTGGCGGTTGAACAAACACACACACACACACCTTCCCCCGGCCTCTGTAAAAGCTACTTAATCAGCATCACTTAATGTCTGCTCATCAGAAAACCGCTTTCTAAAGCACACAGAGAATTAAACCCATCACATAAATTAAAGCGTGTGCTTACAGCGACGCTTTTACCCCCAAATCAAAAGAATATGCAGGAAATTATATTTTGCATAACAAAAATAAACACTACTTTAAGGCTTTATACATGTCCGATATTTTAGTTCTTTATTTGTTTTAGCTATTCTCATTCATAATATTTATTAAAAAATATAAATATATACTAAAAACGGTCCATGACATGCAATCTGCAAGCAATCACATGACACGATCTGATTGGCTCTGCTGATCCTGCAAGCCAATGAGCTTGAAAGAAAGAAGAATCTAATTAAACTTGTAGGAAACCAATCAAGTCATTTGCAAATTTATTTATACAGTCAGCACAATTAATCTCATCACGGGTTAAGACAATAACACAGCTCCATGGAAAACAAGACCAACAAAACCAAACGCAAACAACGACCAGAATAAAGAAACATATATTTTTATCAGTATAAGAATAAAAACAAAAACAAAGCCATGATTTCAGTAAGGAGGCAACAATGGCAATCATTCTCAACTCAATTTAGACACAATCAATATATCATGCAAAACTTAATTTATTTCAGTAATTCAATTTAAAAGGTGAAACTAATATATTATACAAGATATTTCAAGCCTTTATTTGTTATAATTGTGATGATTATGGCATATAACTTATGAAACCCCAAAGTCAAAATTAGAATATTGTGAAAATGTTTTCATATCCGTAAGCCATAATCAACACATAAAAGCTTTGCATGTAATGAGTCTATATAATATATTAGTTTCGTCCCGATGTGAACAGGCCTTTACTGTGCTGGGGAAGTTGGTGTAAGATAAATCTGTGCAAATTCATTATGTTTGTCATGTCACAGCGCTTCTGGGTTGTACCGCTCACTATTGGCCAGGATCACACACATGATCAGCGTCGGCCAATAGTGAGCCTGCGTGTTCTCGCCGCTTGATAATCTTAAGCTTGAGCCGCTGTCGTCACACACACTATTTTAACGATGTCTTTAATAACTTTCTGTTCCGGCAAGTTTGGATTACAACAGAAGCCTATGGAGGAGTGAGACAGCTCTCAGATTTAATCACAAATATCTGAAGATGAAGGAAAGCCTGACGGGTTGAACAACACGAGGGAGTTGTCATGTTAGGGTGAACGATCCCTTTAATAAGCTCCAATATATCCAGGACTCGCAGTCTTGCTCAGTTTTATGCAGATTACATTAGCTACGTTTCCTTGTGCTACACAAGGAAGTTCTCATCACATTGAAAGCCCTTCATGCTCTCGCTCGCCTCTATATTTCTGACCTCATTCAATTATCTGCACTCCTGGGTCCTCTCAATCTGGGCTATATATATACACACACTACCAGACTAACGTTTGGGATATGTTTTTCTCTTTTGCTCACTTAGGCTGCATTTATTTGATTAAAAATACAAAATATTGTGAAATATTATTACAATTTAAAACAGCGGTTTTCTATGTGAATATATAGTGAAGTGTAATTTATTTCTGTGATTAAAGCTGGATTTATCATCATTACTCCAGTCTTCAGTGTCACATGATCCTCCAGAAATCACTCTAATATGAGGATCGGATGATCAAGACACAGTTATGATTATTATCAATGTTGAAAAAACTGTTTTTTTCAGGATTGTTTTTCAGGAACAGCTTTTATCTGAAATGGAAAGCTTTTATAACATTAAATGCTACCATTTAAAAGTTTCGGATGAAAAGTTGCATCAAGGATGAATTAAATTGATCAAAACTTACAGTAAAGACATTTATAATGTTGCTAAATCCGGTTCTTTTGAACTTTCTATTCATTAAAAAATCCTGATTTTTTTTTTTTACACAACTGTTTTCAACATTGATAATGAATGGTTTTTTAGCATAATATCATGAGTGATTTCTGAAGTAATGATGCTGAAAACTCAGCTTTGATCACATGAATAAACTATATATTCACATAGAAAACAGTTATTTTAAATTTTAATAATATTTCACAGATTTTACTGTTTTCTTTGTTATGTTAATCAAATAAATGCAGCCTTAGTGAGCAGAAGAGACTTCTTTTAAAAACACACAAAATCTTACATGATCCAAACCTTTCGACTGGTAATGTGTGTGTATATATATATATATATATATATATATATAGATGTTGATGTAGAAACCTCAAGCAGAAGAAATAAGAGAATTAAACTCACTCAGGACATAAAGGGTCAGTCTGATGGCCGCCAGACAGAATCCCTCGAAGAAGCGAAGCGTGCTGAACATGGCCATATCCACGGAGAACGCCACGGCTAACCCGAACACCAGCACCGACAGCACCGACACCAGCAGAACTGGGATCCGGCCCAACCTGACAGGGTTTCAGAATATATACAGTCAGGGCTTGACATTAAAGGAGTAGTTCACTTTAAAAACAATGAAAACATTCCAGGATTTTTCTTCATATAATGGACTTCAATGGGGACCAAAGGTGAGCATTTGAGCTTATAAAACTTTAACGTTATTTATTTATTAAATGATCGATTGTTTCGCTTGATAAGACCCTTATTCATCGTCTGGTGTGGTTTAAAGCCCTTTGAAGCTGCACTGAAACTCTCATTTGGACCTTGAACCGTTTGGTCCCCATTGAAGTCCATTATATGGAGAAAATCCTGGAATGTTTTCATCAAAAACCTTCATTTCTTTTCGACTGAAGAAAGAAAGACATGGACATCTTGGATGACATGGGGGTGAGTAAATTATCAGCAAAAATTATCAGCACTGTTTAAATGTACCCAAGTGAGTTTAAAATACATATTTGTGGCTCTTAATACTTTAATACACTTTTAAACTTACAGGTGAAACTCGAAACTCGTGCAAAAGTTCATTTATGTCAGTAATTCAACTTAAAATGTGAAACTAATATATTATATAGACTCATTACATGCAAAGTGAGATATTTCAAGCCTTTATGTGTTATAATGGTGATGATTATGGTGTAAAACTACAAATTCAAAATGAGAATATATTGTGAAAAGCTTTTAAATCCATAATCATCACCATTATAACACATAAAGGTTTGAAATATCTCACTTTGCATGTAACGAGTCTATATAATATATTAGTTTCCCATTTTAAGTTGAATTACTGAAAGAAATGAACTTTTTGCACCATTTTTCGAGTTTCATCTGTACGTTTTTTTTATAAATATAGGATTTGTATTAAGTCTATATTCAGTCGAATCGAGAATCGAAATCGAATTGAATGGGAACATCTGAATCGACCCAGCCTATGTAGTGTATATACGACTGTAAACATCACAGATGCATGTTGGGTAACGCACCAGTCCGCCATCGCTCCCATCAGCAAATACCCGAAGATAGACCCGATCAACAGAGAGAACTTGGCGATGTGAACCTTCCACTCTCCGTCACACACCAGCGTCCACTGCAAACAAAACACACACATCACATACACACATTCAGCATCTCTCACATCATCACAGTTTATTGGCTATAGTGGTGGTGAACATTTTGACTGGACATCATCTCGTAGGACATGTATGTGATGTAGTGGTTTGTGGTTTCTGAGATGAACGCATAGACTGGTTTGATTTTTACTCTCACTCGTTCACTTCACTCATTAGTGTGTGTAGAGATAATAGACGAGGTATTTTGCTTCGGGAACTCTCCTAATCTACTCCAGTAAAGAGAGAGAGAGAGAGAGAGAGTCTACATGCAGTCCCTCAGCAGGACTGTGTTTGCAATCTGACAGTCCCTTAAACACACATTACAGTTCTTGGGCCTCACAGAACACACTCACACACGTTATCTGCACATTTACACTCGTGGGTTATCTGCTCCACTCTGGTCTGGTCTGGGTGTAACACTGAACTCTCGTCTGATGTGCATGTGAAGAGATATGCTCTGTGACGGCAGTTTAATGCCTCATTTACACGACTAACCTGATCAATGCAAGTGCATCAGTGCTATAGGTCTGAGTTATTCATATTCAAATCGGAGGGAAATACCAGCTGATTTTATCTTAAACAGTCTTGATGTGTATTCAAGTGCAAGTTCAGGCCACAAATACACGTGAAACTCGAAATATTAGAAATGAATGTCACAACATTCTAAATTAGGAGATAAAAAGTCATAATACTGCAATGACAAAAAGTTGACAGTTTTTGACTTTTTATATCATAATTATGACTTAGTATGTCAAAATTTGACTTTTTGTCTCCTAATCAGAGATAATAATAAAAAATTGAGATAAAAAGTCCTACAAATGACAAAAAGTGGACAGTTTTTGACTTTTTATGTCATAATTATGACTTAGTATGTCAAAATTTGGACTTTTTGTCTCCTAATCTGAGATAATAATAAAAAAATATAAAGTCCTACAAATGACAAAAATTGGACAGTTTTTGACTTTTTATGACTTAGTATGTCAAAATTTGGACTTTTTGTCTCCTAATCTGAGATTAAAATATATATATTGAGATAAAAAGTCATAATAATGACAAAAAGTTGACAGTTTTTGACTTTTAATGTCATAATTATGACTTAGTATGTCAACATTTTGACTTTTTGTCTCCTAATCTGAGATTAAAATATATTGAGATAAAAAGTCATAATAATGACAAAAAGTTGACAGTTTTTTGACTCTTTATGTCATAATTATGACTTAGTATGTCAAAATTTGGACTTTTTGTCTCCTAATCTTAGATAATAATAAAAAAAAATTGAGATAAAAAGTCCTACAGATGACAAAAAGTGGACAGTTTTTGACTTTTTATATCATAATTATGACTTAGTATGTCAACATTTTGACTTTTTGTCTCCTAATCTGAGATTAAAATATATATATTGAGATAAAAACTCATAATAATGACAAAAAGTTGACAGTTTTTGACTCTTTATAATTATGACTTAGTATGTCAAAATTTGACTTTTTGTCTCCTAATCTGAGATAAATAATAAAAAATGAGATAAAAAGTCGTAATAATGACAAAAAGTTGACAGTTTTTTACTTTTTATGTCATAATTATGACTTCCATGTTAAAATATTGCTTTTCCTCTCATTATGTCTTTTAATGTCATAATTGAGAGATTAAATTTGATTGATTTCCCAAATAATGTTTTTCTTATACGGCGGAATGTGCTTCTATTGGACGATACACAGACCAAAAGTTCAAGCTGTTATTTGCTGACAATCTGCAGCATTTTCACCTCCAGTCCCCATTCACTCCCATTGTATGACGAGAACAGTGAAAACATTCGGTTAAACATCTTCTTTTGTGTTTCAATGATGAAAGCAGGTCATGTTAGTATGGAAGGACGCGGTGATGAGTAAATACGCCAGCATTTGAGTTTGAATTTTAACCAATGACGGAATTGTAAAAAAATGAGCGAACTATTCCTTTAAATGGTAGCTTTCCATCAAGCCGGAGGGAATCCTTTTTCCAAGGGCATCCATCAGTAGATCTTACCTTAGTGACCACATTCTGCTGCAGTCCCGACTGCAGCTCAAACCTCCACTCCGAGCACACACACGCCGTAACGAAGCCGTTCTCAGTGCCGTTCCCGATCAGATCCACGAATAAATCCCGTTCCGAGCCCGTCCCGTTCCCCGCGCGCACGCACTTCCTGTGCGGTTGACCGAGCAGAAAGTGATCGGAGAACTGGATAAACGAGATGAGGAACGCAGGGATCCACGTTAGAGCCACCAGGCGCCTCTGGTACCTCCCGAACCCCCCGAGGAACGGCAGAACCACCGTGTCCACCTGCGAGAGCCGCTTGTGGGGTTCGGACTGCGACACATTCCCGTTCTCCGCCGGTGCGTCGAGCCCGTCCAGCCGAACCGCATCCATTGCGCGTCGGTTTCAGGGTCTTTGTCTTAAAATCAGTCGCACACACACTGAGAGAAGTCTGAAGTCTGAACAGAACCCAGTCCGAATCCGAGCTTTGATAATCCAGTTGATGCGCAAGGGGCCCCATAAGGTCTTTGTCGAACCCGGTGGTCACAGCGCCATCGCCGGGCTGTAGAGACCCGGTGGTCTCCAACAGGTCCGCAGGTTACGCTGCTGATGCACAGGTGTGGCCCGCGTATCCATCATGAATCCCGCTGAACTCACATCAGGGATGAGGATGATGATGCTGCTGAGCCCGTGAGCCGATCACACCCAATGCTCGCGCTCTAGCTCATAAATAACCCCTATGTAGGCTAGCCAAAGGCTTGGTTATAACGCGTCGCACGCCCGCGTGTAACGCACCGCGTCCAAAATGCAAGATCCGCCCTCGTCGCGCGCACCGAGCTCTTCCATTGGCGCGCGCTGTCCTCCAGCGTGTGTGTGTGTCTGTCTCTCTCTCTCTCTCTCTCTCACTCTCTCTCTCTCTCTCTGTGTGTGTGATTGGACGAGGGTAACAAAGAGCCTTTGTGTGGCATCTGCCCCCCATGAGCTCAGGGCAAAAACACTTCAGTGGGATCCAACATCCCTGCGCGCATAACCTCAGCATTATCTTCAGTTTACTTACACAGAACATCACTCTTCAGTATTCAAGCATTAGCCTATATTCTATTATTATATTATATTATATTATATTATATCACATTATAACATATTATATTACATTACATACTGATGTGCATTACACTGTACATTATCTTGCAAAATGAATAATTAAATAAATGTACCTGAAATACTGATTTGAGTTAAAACTGTTTTATTATAAGAGAAAAAGGGTGCAATCAATATTAAGGAATTCTTATATTATATTCTATTACATTTTGATGTGCATTATACTGTACATTATCTTACAGATGAATAATTAAATAAATGGACCTGAAATATTGATTTGAGTTAAAACTGTTTTATTATAAGAGCAAAAGACTGTTGATTAATTATTCTATTCTATAATAATGTGCATACTGTACATTATCTTGCCAAATAAATAATTATTGGCATCTAATGGACATTAAATATTGATTTTGAAAATGCTTTATTATGTGAGACGAGAATGCAAATTTTTATGAATATTATATATATATATATATTAAGTTATGCTATATAATATTGCATTTTAATGTATATTATATTGTACATTATCTTGCAAAATAAATAATTTAATAACTGGACTTGAAATATGATCAATAAGTTATATAATCCATGAGAATCAACTAATTTTTGAATTTAAGTTGGTTTAATGTAATTTAATTTTAAGTGACTTAAACATCTGAGTTGATTGTACATAAAATGATTATTTTTTTATTATTATTTTATTTATTGCAGTGCAATACCGGAAATATCTGCATGTTCTGATCGGCTCAGGCCCGGCAGCATATGGTCTGGCAGCTCAACACACTCTTCTGGCCAAGAGCGTCTCAAAGCTTCTCCTGGAAGAGTTTTCTGTCCTTTCTCGTTCCAGACGAGGAGATGTTCAGCACGTCACTGGAGCTTTATCACAGGCAATTCATGCATATTTATGTCTAGTAAAATATGAAATACCACCATAAAATATAATCATTAGCATTTTAAACTATGATAATCTAAGCAAATAATTTAAACAGAGCTTTCAAGCTACAGCCATCAAACCCGGCTCAGACTTTTCTGACTCACTATTTCTTATCTAACTGATCCAACAAAATCCCGACTTTCGTTGAGGGGGTCAAAACTTCTGTACAATAAGACTTATCGAGTATCAGCATCCTATGCTAAAACATGCTAGCAGTGTGGTAAATAATGCTATCAGCATATTAAAACATGTTAACGGATAATGCTAACAAGTAACAACAAGTTAATTCATGTTAGCAGAGTGCTAATCATGCTAGCAACATGATAAAACATGTTACTACTGTGATAAATTATGCCAGCAACATGTTAAATCATGTCAGCAACATTTTAAAACATAGCAATAATGTTTTAAATCATGGTAACAACATGTAAATTCATGCTAACAAAGTGCTAATCAACATGCTAAAACATGTTAGTACATAGTAAAATCTACAAATGTCAAGTTTTTCAACTTGAAGTTTATTTTAAACTTAAACCAAGGCTTTGTCAAGTCAACATCAGAGTTTGTAGACAAACTTGACTAATCTAGTTGTAAATTAAGATGTTATTCTTCTCAACACTGGTCAAAATGGACCAATCACAGTCGTTTGCCATTTTACAGAAATTCAGCTGCAAAATTTTTTTTTATTCAGATATCAAGTGGTGTTTTTTTTTCGTAGTGTAGAATTTGTATTCCATTCAAACAAAACCCAAATAGGGCTCAGCAAAATATTTTTTTGGTTTTTAAACTACAATGCGCACCCTGGTGGAAGAACATCCATCTCATTGCAGAAAAACAGAAATTGGCTAAAATTAGCCATCCAAATGCTCAGAAACAAATTTAATTCAATTCAAAAAATATACTCAACATAAAGGCCAAAGCATTTATAAAATAAAAGTTGAACAGAGAAGAAATGCTGCAGTTTGCTTCCCCCTGGAGGCGCATGTCTGTAAGAGCATACAAATCTGAGTTTATATTTAGTGACCAGCAGATGGCATTATTTGTTAAAAAAACAACAACAACAAAAAAACAACAACAACATGGCGCGGAACTACACGACGTTTCCGGTGGAGTTTGTCACGTGAGCACTGAGCACTGACCAAGGAGCGGATCGTTTGAAAGTAAAGTGAGTTATTGCACAACAGTCCGGTTACAGAAATAAAAATCATATTCATCTTCTCCAGATGAACAGGGAAGGGATGATAGGCTACATCAGCACAGTTTCTTCCCTTTTCTTATTAATAATAGGCTAATAATCTGTGTTCCAGTTCATCCCACAGGTTCAAGCGTGGTTCAACTTGTGTCATTTCTATAAAAGAACCTGTTGCTACAAAGTCTGAAGCACATTAGTCTGCAGAATGTCATTGTGTGGTGTCAGATTGTCCTGCATACTTCCGATCATCTCGTGTATTTATAGACTGCACATCAATTATTGCTATATATTTAAATTCATTCATTCATATTATTAAATACCTTTTTTGAATTTGATAACAGAATAATTTTTAATAATTCAAGAATTTTCTGAAATCCATGTTAGTTTGTTTATTTATTTAACTTCACACTGTAAAAAATATTTTCAAGATTTGTTATCACAACATATTTTCTCTTGTCAAATCAACTTTATAATAATTTATTTAGTTGAGATAACTTATTATTTTGAGTGTCTGATGGTTAAATTAATCTCCTATATTGTATTAACTCACTTTTTCCAGTTCAATCAACTTAAAATTTTAAGGCACCCCAGGTTACTTACTTTTTTTAAGTTAAACCATCACTATTTTTTTTACAGTGTAGTAATCACAACATTTTTTCTTTTGTCAAATCAACTTAAATAATTTATTTAATTTTGAGTTTCTGATGATTAAATTAATCTCCTTCATTGTATTAACTCACTTTTTCCAGTTCAATCAACTTAAAATTTTAAGGCAACCAGGTTACTTACTTTTGTAAGTTAAACCAACAATATTTTTTACAGTGCAGTATTGCCCGATTCACACACACACACTGTTTACATGTTACTCCAAACTACAGCAAATAATGCTTTAGTCTCGCCTTCACCTGCCCAAACATGAATATTAACATGAACATGAACATTAGTGTTTTGTTCTTCCTTCAGCAGAACGTCTCATGTATATTTAATGCAGTGAGCGTCCCACAGCTGACATCATGAGCCCGGAGAGAGAGTGTTTATCACACTCATGTCGGCCTTAATCTGTGGAAAGAGAGAGTTAAGGAGTGATGATGATGATGATGAAGATGAGTGATGCGTTTCTTCACATTGAGACGACAGCATAGCATACGGTCAGAGCTCACACACTCGTGTCATCTCTCTCTCTCTGTCCTTCTGTCTATCATAGTTTGCCTCGCAGTGTGGGTGTGTTGCAAGACAAAATATTTGTTTTTTTTCACCCACTCAAGGCCACACACACACACACACACACACACACACACTTTTCTGATTAGAATTATACAACACCTGCAGGTGTGAGAGGCATGGGTGTGGCTGTGTGTGTGTGAGAGTGAGGGGCTGGGAGCGAAAATGGGTGTGTCTGTTTGTATGTGTGTGTGGTGTTCAAAGTAAATTGACTTGCATTTAAATGGTAATAATATATTAAAACAATTATTTAATTTAATTTTTTATTCCAAATATGCTTTAAATGTAATTTCCACCAAATGAACAGCTGACTGGAGATGTGCTGGAATTAGATGTCTTTTGCCAAACAAACTAAATAAACTTTAAGAGGGAGTTTATTTTAGTCCACACGACTGAAAGAGTTCATTGTTGAAGAAAACACAAAGCTGATGCTTTTACCACATTAATAATGATGCTAGAATAGAAGCGAGTTCAACAAGAGGATCAGGTGAAGCGTAACATGATCACTTTGGGCTTTTGGGAGTCACACCACACACACACACACAGTCTCTCTCTCTCTCTCGCTCGCTTTTCCCCAGAATATCTGAGTGTTTCCCCTATGGAGGGTCTTTCTTTCTGACTCACTTCCTGCTGGAAAAGCACATCCTGAGTTTCCTCCAATCACACACTCGACACAATGAACTCACTTCGAGAGATATTCCCCTGACAGACAATAACAAACACCCGCTCTGCTAACAAGAATGTTTAAAATGTTTTCTAAAAAAAAAAATCTTGACGAACGTTAAGGAAATATTCCATTTTATCATACATAAACATTATGAAAATATTACTTTTGAACTCTGTATGAGTGATTAGTAGTCATTAGCAATTATCAAGCAAAACTAATTACACTCAGATCTGAGAAAGCCTGTATTGTTGAGCGTTTGTGTTTTCAGTGAGTCACGTGTTCGCTCATTTGTTTGGTGTGAACTATTGTAAGGGTGCGTGATTGTAGTAAGCTGTTGAACAAGCCAGTTTCCATTGTGTTTATTTGCATTTTAGATTAGACACACTAAACAAGGATATATACGTTAATCTAGACATATTTCACTTATATTTCCATTTTAGAAAACATTGATGGCACACTCTTTTATAAAAATGAGAGTTTATAAACAACTGTATCTGTACATGGAGGTTTACGTTTTTAAAATCTTTTTATTATTTTATAACTGTGTGTAAATATATAACCTTACACACAGGGCCTAAAATTAACACTCACCAAATGCGAGGAAAAATCAGCGTTTGTGGCTCAAGCAGACAAATTCACACAAAATTGTCAAATGTAGTATAGAAAATATATTCAGTTATGTTATGAGTGAACGTAAACAATTGGCCGTGCATTCGCTCTTAAAGTGACAGCAGCCTAATATTCCTGTCTGTGTAATGCTAATCAAACAACGAAAGACAAAGAAAAAATCACTCACTGCTCTTTGA